AGGAAATATTGGAGGTCCAAAGTCACACAACAGTCGAACAAATGTTTAACCCAAAACCCATAGTGTCCCATGAATTAAGCAGAGCTGAATCCAAATCTGTTTCATTTAGTTTTCGTTATATCCTGTCGTAAAGATTTTGATCATATTTGAGGCGCTCTTTACACACTTTATTTTGAAGTATATTGATCATTTTTGATGAAAAATGGAAAAGAAGGATATCACAGGATATTATCCTTTTTAGCATACGGTGCCATCAAATTCTAAAAAATAACTTAGTTTTCTTTGTAAACAACCATTTACAGTAGCTGTGAATGTAAAAATACGCTCTAAATCCAGAAAAATGTAAAACAAATATTGAGACACCGGTATCCCGTATACGTGAAAAGAGTTAACCTGAAAGGAAAATCCTTATTTAATTAAAAAAATCTGGGGATTCGGATTCAAACTCTATTCTGAGACTCTAAAACATCCCGAAGAAAGCTTTACTTATAAAATATTATGTCAAATTCAATCTTTTGACTTTAAAATAAAGGTTTAACCTGAACGATAAAACCTGATATGATTAAGAAATTCTAAAGTTAGATTAATATTCAGATTCTGGTCTCTGAGTTTGGATTTCAACAGAGTTTAAAAACTCAGTTTTTCTAACAAGTTTTCATGAAAGATAGAAAAATATGATATCCAAGTTATTTGCATTTAAATTCGACAAAAGCCTGGCAATGACAAAGAAAATGTTGCAGATAAAAATCATAAATTCGAAAGTTCTAAAATTCTCTAACCAAATTTCCTTATTAACATCTAATCTATTTAAACCAATTTCATTAATAACAATCCAATTTGATTTTGACATTTGATTTTTCTTTAAAAAATACACAGCACTTAAACATAATTCAGCTTGACAGATTGATAATTTTCCAATTTGTTTAATAAGATTTTATGAAAAATTTTATGATCCCTTCAGAAATATTAATTAAGATTTCAAATGGTTCTAAGCAAAGCTAAGCATATAAAAAAGGACATTTTTGTTGCTATCTATTTGCTTTGTTTTGTTGTGAGCTAATTATGTTCAAATATTCATTCATGCTTTAACAACTTCATATTTCAATATTTGAATTAAAAAGGAGGAAAATAAAAATATATATTTTTTTCTGTGTCTTTGTTTGTTTATTTATGTCAATTATAGATATTGACAGTTCAGCTTAGTTGTCTGCTATAATATAGTATAAAAAATATTTGCATAAAAATACAGAATAGCTAAAGAATAAATTAATGTTAATTGGAGTACATATTTTATATTTTCAAAACATTTTCTTGTTTAGAAAAAACTAAAGATTAACGCCCTTATTCACAAACAACATTTTTATTTTATAAAAGATTTATAAAACAAAATTTCCATACAAAATCTAATTTATAAACCGTTTAAAAATAAAAATTTTGTTTGTGAATGAGGGGGTAAGGGTGTTATTCACAACAATTTATCACTGGTTTATAAGACAATTTTTCATAAAAAATTTGTTCAATAAACCTTTGATAAATAGTTATGAATAAGGCAATAAGGGTCTTATTCATAAACTTTTATCAAAGGTTTAAAAATCAAAATTTCATACAAAATTTGTTCTATAAACCTTTGATAAATAATAAGGCAGTGTGAATAATAAGATATTTTTAACATCTATGATTTATTGAATTTATAAAAAATAATTTTTAAAACTAATCACTAGAAATAATTAAAATTTTAAAATATTTAAATTTTCGATCTCAGTATCTTAAGATCTAAAATGTGTTGTAATTTAAACAATTATTTTGTGGAAATGAGTAAATTTTAATATTTTTCTCATTGACGACTTCAATCTTTTAAACTATGACATAAATATTTACAAATCACCATATTTGTATAAAATCTGAACAGAATGCAACAAAAAAAATATATTTATTTTTTCCTTTTTTTGACCAATTTCCTTAAAACTTTTTGACAAGTATATTAGAATACTAGAAATAAAAAAAACTTTTTAAATGAACTGAAAAAAAAAACACAAAATGTTGCCTGCCATTGCTGTAAACATTATGATATAGTTGACGACTCATGCCTAATCCAACATTCCCCCAACACCCCATCTCCCTCTTCTACAAAAAGAAAGGCTGAAAATTAAAATGAAATGAAAAATTAACTACCATAATAAAAGAAGGAAGCATTCCAATGAAAATGATTTTTGAAAAAAAAAATAACAAATGAGAATAAGTAGGAAATTATTGGCTGACATAGCCGACCATACGATACACTACATCATGTTACTAATGGTTATAAGTCAATTATTGACATTTAAGTTATTTTAAAAAGGACAGTTTGTATGGGACAAATTTGAATCTATTTTAATAGACCTCCTTGGATCGAAAAACACTTATGAAACAAATTTCATCCAAATATGTTAAAAATCGTGACCTGTACCTTGAGTGTAAGCTTTACATGAATAGGCAGCCAGACAGACGGAAGGATATGGCTTAATCGGTACAGAGAGTGATTCCAAGTCTATCGGTATACTGTAAGTTAAGTAGGATCAATATTTTTTTTAATATACTTCTCACTATGGTGGTGAAAGTGTAATTTCGGAGGGCTAAAAAATCGACCGATTTCAACCAGATTCCCTAGTGCAATGCGTATAAGGTAGGTAGGTTACGTGGGTGCTCGCTATTAAGCGAGTTCACTCGGAGGCCTCGTGGCCCATTGTGATACCCTAATATTGAGACAATGGATTCCCTCCCTAATTTCGTTGAGTACATGGTCCGTTTGGTCTCCGTGTAAGCCAGCCGGCGCTATTAATAAAACCGATCATATATATTAGTGACGCATCTCTGAGACAGTCTAGATCATGAAAAAGAGCTCTACCAAGATAAAGTAGTCTGTGCTCTTGAAAGACTGGGCAGTCACATAGAAGGTGTTGTACCGACTCCACTTCTTCTTAGTCCAAGCAACTCCTATAGTAACTATAATTTGGGTAGCCCTTACGTTCCGATATATGTCCAATCATACAGTGCCCAGTAATTATACCAGTTAGAAGCCTAATCGAGACAAGAGAGTCCTAGTCCTATCTGTAGTCAGAGTGGGCCAGAGCAGTCTCGATATTCTATAAGTGGTGATATTTGACCACCTGAGTTCCGTCTCACTCAAAGCCCATTCATCTATCAATTTTTATAGGGTCGCCAGGGGAGTGTGAATATCATTTTGTGCAAGGGTTAAGTTTAGGGACGATTCTTTGGTTGCACATTCATCAGATATTTCATTTCCACGGATGTCCTCATGTCATGGAATCCATATCAACCCAACATGATGTTGTGTCAGTTGTGCCAATGATTGAATACAATTGAGAAGACATTTCGACTTAATAACATTGGAATTAAGAGCCTTGATTGATGCAAGGCTATCGAAGTATATATGTATAGTCGAATTTTCGAGATTTAGTTCCCGGATTCTTCTCATGGCTGTATAGGTGGCATATATTTCTGCCTGACGGACCGTGCAGGTGTCAGGTAGTCGAAGAGACAGTAGAAGATTTAGTTTTTCGGAAAAGATTCCCGATCCCGTGCCCCTTTCTGTCTTTGAGCCATCAGTATAGATTGAGATCACGTCGTCTCTTGGGACAGTGTTCGCGGCCCAATCATCCCTTGTCGGTATTGTGGTCTTGAATGACCTATTAAAATTCAGTGTAGATAGAATGTAGTCTGTTTCCTGCCCTATGATTGGCCCGCCTATTTTTTGTAGGATGGTGCCTTGACCAATGCGGTCGTGCTTCAATCCGTTCGACTGTTTAAGTCGTAGAGTATATAGCAGAAATGCATTTAATGTATATATCAAGGGGAGTTATGTTTAGCATCGTCTCCAGACAAGCCAGTGATTGAAAGACATGTCTTGGTATCCACCGCTCTCCACCAAACAAGAGCTCCGTACGTCAGAATAGGTCTTATAACCGCGGTGTACATCCAGTGCACAATGTATGGTTTAAGACCCCATCTTTTCCCAAAGGTTTTCTTACATATATAGAAGGCAAATAATGCCTTCTTCATTCGACTCTCAGCATTACGTTTCCACGTGAGCTTAGAGTCTAAAATTGCGCCAAGATATTTGGCTTCGCTTTAGGTATTTAGAAGAGTACCATCCAAACACGGAGGTCTGAAGTTGTACTTCCTGGTGAAAAGAACCAGGAATGTAAGTAATGGTCGAAAAGAAGAATGAAGGATCACAAAATTAAAAGTGACCCTAAGTCAATAGGTATACTTAAATTTGGATGTAGGACTACAATTTCCTTAGCACAAATGTCCTATACCCTCTCCACCAGATTAATGTAGAGTCATTTAACACACACATATACAAAAACGAACAAGCTTTAAAAAAAACACCGAAATAACAAATAAAATACAAAGAAAGCACAAGAAAAAAATAAACGCTAGAGTTCAGTGAAATGAAATGTCTAGAAATACCACCAAACTGGCTTAACAAATGTTTATAATTAATCATTGACCAAGTTCCATAAAATCTACAACATACCCACATAGCATTTATACTACTGCGCGTGGTAACAAACAAAAAAAATTTAATACCAACTGAAGGATTTAGTGCTGCCTGCTAACCAAGAGTGTAATTAAGATATTAGATGTTAGTAAATATTAGTTAAAGAATTTGCCAAGTCCTTCTTTAGTTTAGTACTTATTAAAATCCCCACCAAAAAAAAAAAAAAACTTACTAAAGATACTGATAACAAACTTTTCTATTTACTTTAATATTTATAAGACTCCATAGAAGAAACTAATTTAACGAGATTTCAAAGAAGTTGAAACTTTTTCTGAAATCTTTACTACTCAGTTTTATATTTTCTTCCTACTTCTTTTCTTTTTTTTTGCATTATCATTATTATTATTTTTATTATTGTGAATACCAAAAGCTAATATTTGAAAATAATATTTTGTCTTTTGCTTTGGCCTTCTTTCCTTTTTTTCCCCCCATACAGGATGAAGCTCGTAAAAAGGCAGCCTCAACATATCTGGTAGACAATACAGATTTACCACCACCCCGTTACCAACAAGATGGCACAATGCCAACACTCTATCCAAATAATATGGGTAAGTAAAGCTTAAAAATAAAAAAAAATCACATAAACATACATTTTTAGACACTCACACACACATGTATAGATTTGTGTAACATGAATTCTAACTATTGTACAACGGGTAACTAACTCTTTACCTTGTTTTTCATCTTTAGGTATTAAGAGGAAAATTTCAATAGTTTACTAAATCCTTCTACATACAAACACATATGCAGGCAAACATAAATATGTATGCTAATACACATGTGCGTGAAAAACTAGGTGTTTAGGCTTTAATTTTTATTTTAAAGTAAAAATAACTGTTAAAAATGCCCTCTTGGGCATTAAATACATATAATCAAACTGTTAAAAACTTTGCTGTAAGTAGTTTTAAAGCAAACAAAATACTAAGCAACATAGAGCAATAATAATCCTTTGAAGTCCTTTGTAAATTTATTAAAAATATGAAATCAAATTTGCAGTTCACACCTATCTTGCTATTCACATGTGTATTCATACAAAGATTCCAATAAAGTATTATTGTATATGTATGTGTGAATACATTGCCAACTATCTAGCCAACTATGTTTATAACTGTGTACTTATTGTTAGTGTATTTGTTGTACGTTCTTATTCTTTTTTTTCATATTATTATTGAAGCAAACACATTGCAAACTTTCATTCATTCATTTATTCATTGTCTGAATGCATATTTGTGGTGTAATTTTGAGGCCATTTTTGGGTCTCCAACTCGAAGAATTATTGCCATAGTTTATTGTCCTAAATTTACAATCTAACAACTCGTATATACTAACGCTCACATAAATACACACATACTCATACACTCTCATACTGGGACAACTACATCTCTATTGTTTGGCATTTTCATATTTCTCTGCTCTTTTTCAATAAATGAACCGTTCGGCCAACTTATCATACCGATAACAATTCTTCTTTTTGTAGTTATTTTTTTTTCTTTTTTGCTTCTTTTTCGATACAAAAGTGTTCAATAAACATTCTTCTTTTTGGGCTGCAAGTACAAAATACAATACAAGACAAACAATAATCAACTGACCAATTCATTAAAATTTCTTAATGTTTTTTTTTTTTTCACTTGTACTCTATCGGTTTTGCCTTAAAATATGTATGTATATTGTCAGTGTATATGACTTGTGATTTTCCATTAAAAATACACCTGAACAAATTATTAAAGATGATATGTTTGACATTTTGTATTGAAACAATGTAATAGTGGAAATATTAATAAAAGAATAAGAATGCCTGGAGCATCTTTATACAATACATAAGTACAAAAAATTATGAATGAATGTCTGAATGATTCTTGAAACTTTTACATTTGAAAGGATTTATAGGCAACTCCCATATGTATTTTTAAGAAAATGGGCGTAAAAGCAATAGTGGGTGTGGTTCCGCTCATAAGAATTACATAATATCTGAAAAACTGTTATATCTAATAGAGTTCCCTAGTAACTTTAATATCATTGTGAATGTTTAGGATAACAATAGACAGATCACCAATAGTGGGCGTGGCACTATTATATATAAAATTAAAATGTTTAAACATGGGGTACTATAGAGTACAAGTAATATTTGTTTGATAGTTTTTGTTGAAAGAATATAATAGTGGAAATATTAACAAAAGACTAAATATAAAATTAATGAACGTATGTATGTCTGACTGATTCTTGAAAATTTCACATTTGGAAATAGGCGAAAAATCAATAGTGGGTGTGGCACTACTCACAAGAAGTAAATATTTGTCTGGAAAACTATAACAACTAGATTTTTGAAGTGACTTTATATAACTGTGAATGTTTAGGATCAAAACGGGCAGGTTATCAATAGTGGGAGTGGCATCTCTTATATAAAGTAAAAACTAAATTTTGAAAATCTGGTTCATTATAGTGTACAAGTAACATATCTATTAACACAAATATTTAGGGCAGAAATGGGTGGACTATAAAAAGTGGGCGTGGTACTTTACAGAAATGCAAATACCTGGGAAATTATAAAGATATAAATATTAAATTTAATACTTTGTTGTTCACATACATATGTACGTATATTAATATTTCTAAGTGTTAGACAAACTAGCTCTCTTCCACGATATATAAGGGTACCTTCAGAAGGTTAGTTGGTTTATTGTTTCAGGTCCTCCCTTTAAAGTAGCCAACTTACAATGTTTACTAGTATATGTTTCTGTAGTTATACCAATTTATTCATCATTAATCATTTACGTTAATTAACTTTAAGGTTTCATTCACTTTATTAAATTTTCCATCATCAAAAGGACTTTATATTTTACAGCCTGTGTAGTCTGTTCTATATGTTTGAATTTTCATCTTTACAATTGTGTGATTTTCTTTTGATTGCATTTGCAGTGAAATACAATTTCTCAATTGAGCAAAAAGGCACGAAGAAGAGCACTTTTTTCCTCTTGATTTCACTTTGAATGCAATTCTTCAATACGATTGAATGTTTAATTGTATTCATTGCGTTTTTTACTTTAAATTAAACAAAAATCTTAATGTTTTCGTTTTTCTCTTTTTTGTTGTTGTTGTTTTTTTCTCGTTATTATTTCATTAAATTATATTTGATTATTTTACATTTCCTTTAAAGTGGTTGAAGTGTAACTATACAGACATGCATACATATCGCTTTATACATTAAATTGAGTGAGTAAAAGGGCATGTGAAAGGAGTGAGTGAGTAAATTTTTAACATACCAACATTTTTGATTATTTTCCATTTGTGATTGTAATTCAATCGTAGTATCTTTCCCTGTTAATTGTAATTGAACAATGTCGTTACCCGGTCGCTTTCATTAGACCTTTTTTCGCATTTCCTTTCACTGGTGTGCAGTTTTTCCGACTTTATGTACGTTAGTGTATATAAAGTTACTAATTTTCCTTTTAAGTATTCTCAAGACGTTGACAATATAATACTAATGATTAGAATTTCTGACAAAATAAGAAAAACGAAAGGAAACTTGGTCAAGTTAATCACGTGTGGTAAAAAGTTTTCACTGTGTTTTTTTTTTCTTCTATTTGTTTCTGGATTCCAAGGAAACTTTTTATTTGTTTGACTGGTATTATTTGAGATTAGACACGAGTACTTCATTTAGCAAGTACCAGAGAATAAAATAAAAATTAATCATTTTGTATTAACAAAAGCAGAGTGTAGAAAAAGTTTTCATTATTTATCTATGCAAAGGAAATAAAGGATTTCAACTAAAAGTATGCTAAACAAAATAAACAAATATTCGGAAAATTTAAGATTTTAAATCATTAAGCTTTTATTTGGTTTATGAAGAAAGGAAGTTCCCAGAAACTATGTATATTTTTTTTAGGGAATTAGGCTTTAGTCTTTAACTTAAGCTTTAAAGGGTCCACTGAGGACCGATCATGTCTGTAAGTGGGATGGACAGGAAAGGTGATACCATGCAGATGGCAAAATTACAAAGTATGTGTGTAAAACATTATTTTTGTGCATTACAAAATCATTACAATAACCCTGCCTTATCAAGTGTTCACCACTTTATAAACAAACAACATTTTTACATTAAGTATTGTCAAAATTAAATTACTTTAAAACGTTATGGGAAACATACAAAATTATACACTTGAGTATAATTTTATATATTATTATATTTTTAAGGTAAATATAATATTATAAATACACATGCAAATAACTCGTCTATAAAAACATACTTTTGGCAGTGTATGTATATGTTAAACATAGATAAGAATATACGTTTAAAACAACTACCAATTATAGAGAAATGTTATATAAAAAAAAGGTCCTTAAAACCATTTTATTTTTACTGCAGATCCTTTTACAATAGAATGTAAAAACGTAATTACAGCTTAACAGAATGTATTAGCTAAACAATTTGGGAATTGTACTTAGGATTTTCATCTTTTCAACCAGCTTTGCTAGATTGCATATTTAAGGAAAGAAACATTCATGAATTTTCATGTTTAAGACATGCATTTTTAGTTGTATAATATGATTACATACATTGTTGCACAAATACATAGATATGTATAGGTGTTTTCTAACAAATGTATAAGCACTCAGAGAAAAATAAATGTTTAAACAAAGTTACTTTAATCATTCTAAAAAGAATACAAAATATTGAACTATGTTATGCTCACTGTAATCATATATTTAGTTGCCTCAACCATTTTATGTTAAATATATAATTCAAATAGCTTAAGCATTTCAAATTCGAAATAATAGGAGTGGTTGTGACAAACATATGATTTCTAACTGCAATCATATGTCAAATGGAGATTTTAACATAATATAGTAGTGTTAACTAGAGGTAAGACTGCAGTGATCATAATATTGTTATTTTTTGTAATTAACTTGGTGATAAATAGAAGACTAGGAAATTAATGTTTGGCAGACAGTTTTCACAGATTCAAGGCCTCCGACTCCCAATACTTACTAGTTTCTGTTTTTAGTACGATGTCATTACGGTGGAGGCCTTCTTTACACTCTGCTACATGCAGAGATTCTAGAAGGCCCATAGCAGAATCTCTTAATGAAATTTATAAAAACGGACGTTTAAGTCTGTCGTATTTGATTTCCTATTAGTTTTTGATTTTGATCTGTCCTACTCACAGAATGCCTTTGGATTTTGCACGACTGGAAGGAATATGTTCTTTAAGTGTACTTTTATACATATACAAATGATGATATGTATGTAAAAGTTTTAATTTTCACATACATATGTATATACGTCTATGTATACATGTTGATGAAAGCTTTCTAAATTTAATATCGTATATATGTTTAAGAAGTATTCTTCACAGAATATAGCTGCCTGGCGATGAAGAAAACAAAAGCAATAATGACGATGACAGCAACAACCAAAAGACTATTACAAGAAAAAACAATTCGGGCGCGCTATATGAACTATGAGAATAATATGTGTATCCTACAGACTGTGTTTCTAGACATTAAAAAAGAATGTATTTTCTCATACATGATGTGACAGCATAAACAA